GACTCGGCAGGAAGCGCCGTCCGCGGCATTCTCACTTGGGAGTGCTGCTGTGTGACTCAGGTTCAGTCGGTGTCACTGGAGAGCGGATATGAAGCTCCTAGTCGCTTCTTGGTGTCTGGGAGTCTGACGGACCCCTTCCGCTGTTGGGAGGAATAGGTGGCGTCATGCCGGGCATTGACTATGTGACGTGTCTCAATGCTGCGACACTTGGGTTGAGTGGAAGGCTGAACTGCGGTTCATACTTAGTTGATGTTGTTATGGTAACAGTAACAACGTCATGTATATGTCATTATTGGCGGTGAGAAAGACACTCTCGTAACGAGGGTACGAAGCAACTTTCGGGCGTGCGTCATTTGCTTACTGTCTGAAAACTGCTGATCAGCGTGGCCCAAAAACGGGAAGAATGGATCATTCTTCCTATTCCCGGGAATATACTGTTGTCGGGGACGGATTGTGTGCTACTCGGTTTTATTGTGTATATCTGTCTAAGATACTTAAGCTCCGAGCTGTGCTGCTAAATCATATCCATTGAAAAACATTGTATATACTTCATCAAGAAACTCGTCAGTGACTTCAGTTGTCATCAAGATCCACGCTGCAATACCTGGGGAGAAAGAATACATTCTTCCCTGGTCTGGAGGCGGGGTCGACCGGAAATTTTCTCGCGCGGCCTGTCCAGTGTGCTCTCTACGGCAGCGAGTCGAAGCTGCTGGGAATGAATGGAACCACTTCATTCTGTTCCCCTTGAAGACGATTCGGGAATGAATCTCGCGAGAAAAACCATAGATGGATCATTTTGTTGCACGCGATGTAATGGACATCGTTTGATAGTCAATGTCCACTCTAACCTGGGGTTATAATAGAAGTGCGACACTGTTATTCTGACTCGCAATATCTCCATATTGGCCCAGAATTCCCGAGCCAATATGGAGATATTGCGATTCCATGTCATGGGTTCGATGACCGTTGATTTTATTGATGCTTACAATCCATCGACGCCTCTCTACGCGACACCGTTGACTCGATATATACTTTCTTCGAGTGAGGTTCGTGTACGTTGCTAACCGCGCTCGCCAAAGCGATCGATAACAATTGGTAGTGCATCACGTAACGCGACTCACGTTTCGTTGTCTATGATCGTGACTTGGAACTCGACCGGAAATGCTGGAAACGAGCTGATATCAGCGAAACTGTCGCTGTCGCCGCGACAGCGAGACACTAGAAGTTGAAGTCTCCGTGCAGCCCTGGGTGTATGGGGAAAAATAATGGTCATTCTTCCCGGGATGATTGATGGTTCTGTCTTCTCGGGAATTCATGAAATTCCCGTCTGCGAAGAGTATCATTCTTCCCAGCTTTTGATGACACAATACGAATCAGAAGTCTCGATCACACAATGATCTCAAGGATATCATCCGGGCGCGTGGTATTGAATTTTCTGCATCGCAAGTCATCGCGAACGTGGTCTCCATCTTGTCGCGCGTGCTTACCAGCGCCTGCACGCATGCACTAACGAATATCCCACATCACTCTAGTGCTGCGTAGCACGCATATACGAGAAGAACATGATAAGGATCTCGAAGGGGCGAACAGAGTCGACTTAGATAATTGAATCTACGTCTGAATACAGATGGTATAATGATGATATAGTCCTCGTGTAATACACGTAAACGACATAGCTCATACGGGCTGTAACAGCCCGGCTGTTCATAATTAGATTATATGCAGTTCATCCTACCACGAGATGTTGTTGATATGTGCGGATATGAGGCGGTGGTCACAACCCACACCAACGGTGTGACACCATACCGACTGCGAGCTTCATCGTAGATTTGAGCAGCTTATAAATGTCTCACGTCAGCCTCCTCCTCATCCTACTCTCACTGGTCGATTCAGTTGGTGCTCAAATGATGTATACCGGAGGTAAGTCAACTCAGGTTATACTCACAGTTATAGCAGTGTCGAGTTGACCACAAAGGCGACAACAGGTGACAGCTTGCCTTCTTTCAGCCACAAGAGATAAGGCTGAGCCGACCCAAGCCTGCCAGGAAGAGAATGATATGGACACGAAATCTTTTTTGAGTCCCGGTAAGCGTCTCTGCGATCCGGATGTGAAACAAGTACACGGTTACTACAATGGTACCGGTGGAAGAAGGTAAGCATTTGAACACCTGCTTCACCACCTATGCGGACTCTCATCAGACTATTTTTCTGGTTGTTCGAGTCCCGTTCTGATCCATCCCAAGATCCTCTCATCCTCTGGCTCAACGGGGGACCTGGGTGTAGCAGTATGATAGGGCTCTTCTTAGAGAATGGACCCTGCAGACTTAATGAGGATGGAAATGGCACCAAGCTGAACCCGTAAGAAGGACTGTGTGTAAATGATGATGACATGTCCGATTAAGGTATTCTTGGAATACCCGAGCGAACCTCCTCTTCGTTGACCAACCTGCCGGGGCTGGCTTTGCTGAGGGACCGCCCGTCACGAACGGCTCGTTCGCGGCTGCTGACGACTTGTAAGGCGAACAGTGTGGGGGGGAAGTATGCACATGGTCAACTACATGTGTTAGTGAGAATGTGAAAATGATGAGGAAATTTTCGGGGAATTACTGTTGGTTTTCGTGACTTCTACTTGAATTTGTATGTAAACTTCTATATTGAGTGATGGAATTTCGAGCTCAGCTGAGGAAAGCGAACATATATTCCTCCAACACTGATCTAGCGACTGATGCATTGAAAGGTACTGGGCCCTTCAGGGGTTCTTCGCTGAACACAGCCAGTATAAAGATAGAGACTTCTACATCACTGGGGAGTCGTATGCTGGTAGCTCCATATCGAGTGTCGTCGAACCGTCAGTTCCGCTGCTTAGGTCATTACATACCTGCAATAGCGCATAAAATATGGCGAGAAAATACTAAGGGGGACAAACCTAATATTAACCTTCGGGGATTAGCTATTGGAAATGGATGGATGAATGCCGAGATTCAGTAGGCGGATATACGACGGAGATATCATAGAGTCGTTCCTGATAGGGTACTTGCATTCCCCCAGATGGCTTTTAAAAGCTGTACCGCTCCGCGCGTTGCTACCCACGAGGAGTGCGAGAACAAAGCCTCCCATGGTGTGCATCAGTCTTGTTAGATATCTGAACATGACTAGGGCTGTTGGGAAATGCTCGAGGGGTATACCACAGTGTTTAGCAGGCGACCGTGAGAAACCAGCGGTTTGAGCGTCCTTCGCACTCGAATTAAACTCCGTCGTGTTAGTTACGATTTGCCTCAAATTGTCCAAACTCTGTGACCGCGGCGACATACTAGCTCCATTAAAAAGACGCGGTATCAACATGTAAGGAGATTTGGTATGATAGGATATATTTAGTGAAATGGTTTGCATTGTAGGTACGATATGAGGATCACAACTAAGGACGGAAGCACAGGCCAAGTTGAAGATCCGAGGGTGGGTTGCATGCTTGACGAGACTCCACCCTGTTGTTTTCAGTTGGATCGTTTTCTCAACCGGTGTGAAGTGCAGAGGAAACTTGGTGTTAACAAGAAATTCACCTCCTGCACAGACGATGTGAGAATTGTGGATGAAATGTTTGTACTTCAATCGCAGGTCTCCATTATAGGGGACTTTGGGATGGATTTTATTCTTCCCTCTGATAAGCTTTTGCCTGATTTACTTGATGCTGAAATCGAGGTGAGTTACACGCGAGCTGAAGATAGTTCCTCGAACAGTGTTGGAGTAACGTATGTTCACTTCTTTCAGCTGCGCCCAAAAGTTCCCTCGTGAGAGAAGTTTATACACGAATTGGGAGGAAATGTTCCAAAACCAACAAGAATTGCCTGAAATTTCCTCAGAGATTTCATATTGTCACCGACACACGGAGTTGACCATGTGCATATTTTCCCATACTTTTCTAGTACAGTGGGGGAGCTCTTGTGATGCAGTATTATTGGCAGTGTGTTGGTGAACTATGAACACAGACTGCGATTGGTAGTCGCCCTGATGTCGATTGTGGACATTTTGACATTTTGTGTACATCATCTCGGCTTGAAGTCACGAACATCTTCTTTTGCAAAGATTCTCCTCTATGATGGGGATCAAGATTACGTCTGTAACTGGATCGGCTACGAACAAGTAGCAGATGCGTTGGATTGGCCCGGTCGGAATGCATTCCGCAACGCTCGTCGCTATGAATATAAGGTAGCCAACAACAGGAAGAAGGTTGCGGATTGCCGATCCAATGTTTGGTTTCTCAGGGTATTGATGGTATATCAGTTGGTCAACTCCGCAGCATCAGATGGAAGGAGAAAGGAATGTTTGGTTTCTTGCAAGTACGACAAATCAGCGTTGCAATATATGTGTTCGTTTCCCTCAGCTAAGCTCAAGAGTTTCTCCACCATTATAGAAGTATACATACGAGTTCCAGTAGAAGTGTACTGGAACCAACAATAATTCCCCTAAATTTCCTCACAATTTCCACTATTTGTCACTAACAAATGCAGTTGACCATGTGCATATTTTCCCACGTTGCGATGACTGGATTTCATCCCAGCACCATTCCTGCAGGTATACCTAGCAGGGCACCTCGTACCCCAAGACCAACCAAAAGCGGCTCTCCTCATGATCAACGATTTTATGGATGGTACGCTCAGAGCGATCTCTCCAAGGAGGTTATCGAGTGATAACATCTCTTCGGAGGCTCACTAGCAGGATCCGTCTGCTGGGCTGCTGTGTTTTCGCGCAGAGCCCTCGGAGCTATGTGGCTAGTTTGATAACCTCCACATATTGATCGAACATCTTCAGCTTCTAAATGGATGGAACTTTTTCATTTTTTCCATAACTTTAGACTTCTCGTCTTCCATGACAAAACCTCTAGTATGTTGAGTTTGGAGTCAGTGTCGGACGACAGCGGAATATATTCTCGCTCGCCCACAGCTCTACCGCTCTAAACGTCTACGAGACGGATGCACAACCCAGCCCTCGGCGCATGCTAGGGTCTTGAATTTGATACAGAGTGTAAAACATTGATATAAAGAGGTTACTGGTCAAACATCAGAAATTGCTACCAATTGGTCATAAATCTGTAGCCGTATTTGAGGACGTATGACTTGTGTGGACATGATGTAGCAGCAGCGGCACTCATAGGCGTTAATTGACACAAGTTATTGTGTCACACATTTTGTGTGTGTCCCTAGTCTCCATAACTGTGTTCTGTTATCCCCTAGCGTTGAACTAGCCGCTAATTTAACGCGTAACGGTCAAGCAACGGACTCGGTTCGTAACTGCTTCAACTGTGACTGTTGGTATTGTGATTGTTGTGGTTATTATCAGGGTTACAAAAGCTCTATTGTGGTATCTACTTTGTCATCAAGTTCATCACTTTGAACCTTTGTATACGTCGACGGTCAATAGTCTGTAGAGTTCTACGAAGCAAATTGTACCAATACTGTCGTAATGAGCTCGAGTTTCTGAGAAATTCAAATCCAAAGCATCGCGTGCAAAACATTAATTGTTGAACTGATGATTGAAACAACAGAATTGGGACCTTCAGAATTCGTAATACTCACTCGACGAAATTTCAGACCCGGACGGATTTTGTATCAGTATGAAATCGGAGCGCAAAACATAAACTGAAACGCCCATCAGAAGCCTCAGGCCCTCCAATGCCATCTTGCTATCACAACTTGTGACTGCTTACTCGACGAGATATGGGGTCTCATGTTGAATTGATTGAAGGAGAAATATCGTACGCAGTGAACCGGGAGTATATGAACGTCGCGTACCGACGACCTCCACTGTGACACAGACGGCCCTGGTATACACACAATGGAGTAGCCATATTATCTCGAAGATGATCTTCGGGAGATCGGAAGGTCTACGGACGCCGAGGTCGAGACAACTGTAGAACTTCCATCTATATCCACCACAGCTTGAAATTTGCATATCAAATTGGCACGCACTGTTGAATGTCGTTCGATGATGTCGTTTTTGGTAGGGCATTTACTTGGCATCAGCTGATGCAGACGGCGTCGTGAAGGTTTGGGACTTGCGTATGGTTGCTGAGGTCCTGCAAATAGACACTGGGAATATGCCGGCCAACGAAGCTGATTGGGACATTAGTGGAAAGGTGACATCTGATAGGAATCGTTATCAGAACAGGCGGCGCTCGCAGCCTGCGAGCCGCAGGTCATCGCTGTTGCCTCGATGGATTCATCGGTGAAGTTGTTCGACGTGTGGGAGAAGAAGTTCCTGAGGACCTTAGAAGGCCATGAGGACTCGGCAGGAAGCGCCGTCCGCGGCATTCTCGCTTGGGAGTGCTGCTGTGGTGACTCAGGTTCAGTCGGTGTCACTTGAGAGCGGATATGAAGCTCCTAGTCGCTTCTTGGTGTCTGGGAGTCTGGACGGGACCTTCCGGCTGTGGGAGGAATAGGTGGCGTCATGCCGGGCATTGACTATGTGACGTGTCTCAATGCTGCGACACTTGGGTTGAGTGGACGGCTGAACTGCGGTTCATACTTAGTTGATGTTGTTATGGTAACAGTAACAACGTCATGTATATGTCATTATTGGCGGTGAGAAAGACACTCTCGTAACGAGGGTACGAAGCAACTTTCGGGCGTGCGTCATTTGCTTACTGTCTGAAAACTACTGATCAGGGTGGCCCAAAAACGGGAAGAATGGATCATTCTTCCTATTCCCGGGAATATACTGTTGTCGGGGACAGATTGTGTGCTACTCGGTTTTATTGTGTATATCTGTCTAAGATACTTAAGCTCCGAGCTGTGGTGCTAAATCATATCCATTGAAAAACATTGTATATACTTCATCAAGAAACTCGTCAGTGACTTCAGTTGTCATCAAGATCCACGCTACAATACCTGGGGAGAAGGAATACATTCTTCCCTGGTCTGGAGGCTGGGTCGACCGGAAATTTTCTCGCGCGGCCTGTCCAGTGTGCTCTCTACGGCAGCGAGTCGAAGCTGCTGGGAATGAATGGAACCACTTCATTCTGTTCCCCTTGAAGACGATTCGGGAATGAATCTCGCGAGAAAAACCATAGATGGATCATTTTGTTGCACGCGATGTAATGGACATCGTTTGATAGTCAATGTCCACTCTAACCTGGGGTTATAATAGAAGTGCGACACTGTTATTCTGACTCGCAATATCTCCATATTGGCCCAGAATTCCCGAGCCAATATGGAGATATTGCGATTCCATGTCATGGGTTCGATGACCGTTGATTTTATTGATGCTTACAAACCATTGAGGCCTCTCTACGAAACACCGTTGAGTCGATATATACCCTCTTTGAGTGAGGTTCGTGTACGTTGCTAACCGCGCTCGCCAAAGCGATCGATAACAATTGGTAGTGCATCACGTAACGCGACTCACGTTTCGTTGTCTATGATCGTGACTTGGAACTCGACCGGAAATGCTGGGAACGAGCAGATATCGGCGAAACTGTCGCTGTCGCCGCGACAGCGAGACGCAAGAAGTCGAAGTCTCCGTGCAGCCCTGGGTGTATGGGGAAAAATAACGGTCATTCTTCCCGGGATGATTGATGGTTCTGTCTTCTCGGGAATTCATGAAATTCCCGTCTGCGAAGAGTATCATTCTTCCCAGCTTTTGATGACACAATACGA